CTGGGGGCGGCAGGGGAGCCAGTGCCCCCTAGAAGGGCCAGCCCCATGTCCCATTCTCCACCCCCCTGAGCCAGTCAGTCCCTGCCCTAGGGCCGGATGGGAGCTGGTTCCCCCTAGAAGGGCCAGCCCCATGTCCCATTCTCTGCCTCCCTGAGCCAGTCAGTTCCTGCCCTGGGGCCGGATGGGAGCCAGTGCCCCCTAGAAGGGCCAGCCCCATGTCCCATTCTCCACCCCCCTGAGCCAGTCAGTCCCTGCCCTAGGGCCGGATGGGAGCTGGTTCCCCCTAGAAGGGCCAGCCCCATGTCCCATTCTCTGCCTCCCTGAGCCAGTCAGTCCCTGCCCTGGGCCGGATGGAAGCTGGTTCCCCCTAGAAGGGACAGGCCCCATGTCCCATTCTCTGCCCCCCTGAGCCAGTCAGTCCCTGCCCTGGGGCCGGATGGGAACTGCAGCACTTAGAGAGGAAAGGCCTCATGTCCCATTCCCTGCCCCCCCGAGAGCCAGCCAGTCCTCTCCTCAATAGGTCATTTCAAGCAATAGCACTGCAAACCGGGCGATAGCTGATGGTTTATACCTTTAAAAGGTAATTGCTTGACCTGCTCACACAGGTTAGCGCGACTCTACTGTAATGTGTATGTTCAATAGCCTGTGTGTTCTCCTCTTGTCAGACTTGTTTTATACTCCACTAAACATGTATATTTTGGGATTGAGCGTCTGTTTCTGAACCTCGTCACTCACAGAAGACCTTGGATTAATTCAGGGCTGGTGGACGGGTCAGTGCTGGGTCGCATGCACGGAAGTAAGTGTGTGGTAAGCAGAAAATCTTAGGCCTTGTCTACACTACAGAAGTTTGCCAGGCGCTGTACTGTTTGGTACCTCGCAAAGGCTTGAGACGCACGTCTGGCCCACCTACAGCATTGCTTCAGCTGTTTGCTAATCATGCTGCCTGCTGCCCCGCGTCCTCTGTGCTTCATCAGGGCTGAAAGTCAGCCGAGGGCTCCTCTGTCTGGGGAAATAGCCCGGAACAGCTATTGCAGAATAGCCACCCGGCAATAGCTTCCTGTGTGGACGCTCTGGTTCCGCCCTCGGGGTACGTCTGTACTTCAGTCACGGGGGCACTGCAGCTCCTGGACGTATCCGAGCTGCTTTAACGGGAGTGGGCCAGCCCGGGCAGTAATTACCCAGGATGCCGTGGGGGCTCACACAGCACGTGCTGCCGCGGCTTTGCTGCTCCGCGACCCGAGCTAGCTGAGGTGTGTCTGCTTCAGCTGCAATCACAGCCCTGGCTTGTACTACAGGCAGCCTGATCAGTGGGGCCGCCCACTACCCCACACCTCTAGGGTGCCGGTGCTGGGCCAGGGGCACCACGACTCAGAGACGAGCCGTTACCGGGTTGCCGCCTGTTCTGTATTATACGGGACGTCCCTTACTGAAATGAAAATTGCCCAGCCCAGACTAAATCAGCACAAGCCACTTTTTCCCCATGTTTCAACAACATGTGCGCTGCAGCTCTCACCGTGTTCCCTCTCTGTGGTCTAGCAAGGGCAACTACTGTAGGCTCCCCAGCCGTCACCTCTCTTGGGTGGAGACCTGCGCCTCTGGGCCTCCTGATCGGGGTTTTCCCAGGCTGCCCCATTCCCTGCCTACGCTGTGAATTCCCCCACAAGCCAGACTGCCTGAGCCGGCTTGTACTGCTTGTCTCCTGCAAGGCTATAACCAGTGTAACTGCCTGCAGGTATGAGTTAGCCCCCAGCTGTTTCTACACCAGCACTGTTCGGGTGAAAGCAGGGCAAAGAAAACACATTCAAAACAATAAAAGAACCCGTGCTAATAATCTTCCCAGAGCTCACCCCCAACCCCACAGGGATCAGTAGCTGATCAGTCCTTCAAACCCCCACAGGGGTTTTTCTGTGGTTACATAAGAATGGCCAGGCTGGGTGAGACTAAAGGTCCATCTAGCCCAGTGTCCTGTCTACCAACAGTGGCCAGTGCCAGGTGCCCCAGAGGGAATGAACAGAACAGGGAATCATCAAGTGATCCATCCCTTCGCCTGTTCCCAGCTGCTGGCAAACAGAGGCTAGGGCAGGGGTCGGCAACCTTTCAGAAGTGGTGTGCCGAGTCTTCGTTTATTCACTTTAATTTAAGGTTTTGTGTGCCGGTAATACATTTTAACATTTTTTAGAAGGTCTCTCTCTATAAGTCTATATATAATATAACTAAACTACTGTTGTATGTAAAGTAAACAAGATTTTCAAAATTTTTAAGAAGCTTCATTTAAAATTAAATTAAAATGCTGATCTTAAGCCGTCGGCCCGCTCAGCCCGCTGCTGGTCTGGGGTTCCTTCCCCCAGGCCAGCAGCAGGTGCTGAGTTGCACCGGCGGTGGGATCCCGGCTGGCAGGAGCCGGCAGTGGGAACCCCAGAGCGGCGGCAAGCTGAGCAGCTCAGCCCGCCACGGCACTGGGGTTTTCACCGCCGGCTCCTGCCAGCCGGGGTCTCAGCCCGCTGCCAGCCTGGGGGAAGGAACCCCAGGCCAGCAGCGGGTGCTGAGTTGGTCCCGCGGTGGGACCCGACTGGCAGGAGCTGGCAGCGGGAACCCCAGAGCAGCGGCGGGTTGAGCAGCTCAGCCCACGCCGCGTGCCAGGAAAAATCGGCTCGCGTGCCAAC